TTAATCTCTATTAATCTAGAACTCCCGAATTTTGCAATTTTTATCACCTTCCATTGTGAGCCAAGAAGCCAGCTTGAAATGTACTCTGTGAAGGATCTGAACAGCAAGCAATCTGAATGATATTTTATATCATCCATTACCTGATCAAGTATTTTGCCTCACAATCGGTTTTGAGTCATCTCAAATTTTGCACTCAGTTCCTAGCTGCTAGACTCCTCTCCCACTGCACGAATAGTACACTAGGCATAGCCGAAGATAGCAGCCGAAGTGGTACTCCAGACCAAAGCCATCACCAAAATTACATCGTCTAAGCAGCTCTGCTTCTTTTTTTATTCATTAAAATTGAAAGTTAATTTCAATGATTTCTAGTTTGTAATTAAAAACGAGGCGGTATAACGTGACGAAAATGGAAATTTGTCGATGGTCTAATGGGAGCATCGCTGCTCACAGTATCAAAGTAAACAATAAGCCAACAAACAGTATTGAAACCGAATCAAGTGGACAACAAATCAAAAGGTTTATGCAAATTTCAATGACCCGCTGGCAACACTAAAGAATTTAAAAATATACAACCCAAGCTGGAACGCACCAGGCTTGCTGGTGCGATCATGCGTTTTTGCACTAAACTCGCAGGTCGCTAGTAGCAGGAATCGCCGCACTGCATCCAAACACTTGGGCTCATACTGGCCGTGCTTTGGTTTCTTCTCGGCTTGCAGCAGAATGGGCATCGGTTGGGACGAGGGTGTTGCATTATAGAGCCACATGGACGTCCAGGAACATGATTATCAATTTTTTGCATGAAGCTCGGTCGTTTTTTCGGTAAATGCCCGCTTTTTGAAAAAACGAAAAATGCAAATTCCTAATTCACTAAAAAGTGGAAGCATTGCTCGAGCAGTAATTTGTCAAAGAATCCAATTATGCAAATGAACTAATGTTCATTTACATATTTGGATGAAGGCGGCTGCTCGCTGTAAAACGCACTCGTTTCTGATTTTTCGGTAAAGTTGAGTATTTCTCACGCCCATCTGCAGGGAATTTTACCTCCGAGCAGAATTAAAACCGCACTTGAAAGTAGAATATCCCAGCGAATTTTCAGCCTCGCAGCCTATGCGGTAAGCGAAATATCCACTTCGCTACAAATATCTTCGAAGTGCCCTAAATCGTGGGGCAAGTGCAAAGCGGTAATCATTTAAGTATACGATTTTCCATATGGGCGAAAAACATGCTGACAAAATTTCAGCCGCTTATCGCGACCCTAAGGTTTATATTTTTGGACTAGTGTATGCACTCTCTGTGTATGTGTGTGTAAGACGCCTAGTCATATATACATATTTATAACTACACCGAATATTAAAAAGTAATGCTGAAAAGGCGGTGAGGTTCTGGGGAGCCCAAGCCCCCAGAACAGGAATAAAAGAAACTAATAGGTTAAGAAGTACTTCATGAGTTGTGGCGATCCCGGCAATGGGGAGGAGTGCTTTTATACCCTATGGGTCAGAGATTATTAAGACAGCGAAAGTTTAACGAGGATAGGGTGCCCAAAGTTTGAACCAGGGACAGGGGTATTGCGTCATAGTAACCCAGTTGTTCTTTAACCTACTTTTAACAAAAACCATCAATCATTATTTGATCTATGACACACTGTTTTCCGGCAAGTTTTCGAGTTAGTACAGTACCACGTTGCAAACTTTGGCGTGATTGTACGCGCTTCACAAGCGTGCACGACAGCTGAATTTGAAAACTTTAGCTCGCACATGCATAGAGAATATCCCCGCAAAGGTCCAACTTTGTACCTTGCCTGGTTCGCTAAATCGTTCCTCGTCAACGAAATTTGCATATTTTTATGGGAAGTTCATACGCGGAGTCTAGGCACGTGTGGGGGAAGATCTTGAAACGGGAGGTGAAACATGGGGTAAGAACATGTACCAAAAGCTTCAGCCTCCCAACTTTTCTGGTTGTTGAGATGAAAGTGGGTGACAAAATGCATTCGCTTTTGAACACAAACACACACACAGCCTCTCGCTGCACAATAAAAAAGCATAAAAAGTAGAGGCAACGTTTTAGGTAAGCAGCATTCAAAGAATGAGAGGAATAACGCACGGCTGACCTTAAACAGCATTCGCATTCGTGCAGCAGATCTTGAGAGCAGAACGAACATTGAGGGAGTCTCAGCATCTGAACGAGAAAAACATCTGGCTGACAAATCTGATGCTTCGGGAAGGAAAGAAGATCGGGAAAAATAAAAAAGTGTGCTTAGAAAAATTCAACATTCTTACACATTACTACTTTAGCATATGCATTGGAAAATTGGTCACAGTACTCCATCAACTGTGTGAAGACTTTCTGATCGAAAACGCACAAACATGAGTACCCTGAGCTTAAGTAACAACTTTTTAATTGCATTTCACTGAGTGCGCAAAGAATACAATTTTTTAAATGCATTACGAGCAATATCAAAAGATGGAACTAAGCCAGAGTGGCGAGCATTCCCGCAGGTGCACGAGTTGTTCGTTTTGAACCAGAA